CTTGAAGGCTGACCTAAGTTTCCATTCCTGTAGAGTCACCAGGACCTAGCGGGAGAGTCAAGGTCAGGGGCAGGAGAGCCCCTGCCGCCCAGGTGCTGACTCCCTTTGGGAAGGACAGTGGGCGAGCGGTCCTCTCCCTCCCTGATCCTTGGTTTCCACGTGGAGGGGGGCGGGCGGTAAAAACAGTGCTCTGCGTATCCCACAGGGTAGGTAGGAAGACCCAGGGGCTTGAGAGTTAACTGCTCGGCAGGTCGACAGCGCGCTGCCAGAAGATGGGAGCTAGATGCATGTAGACATTTTTGAGAAGCGACGCGCGTGCCAGCCCAGTGGAACTGGAACTGACCAGTAATGTTCTAATCGTTTAGAACTGCAAGTCTCTGCCTCGGGGGGCACGGAGGATGTGGCCAATTTGTTGGAGAAGCAGTTCTCTACTGGAGACGCGAGTCTAGAGGAGAAGGAGAGGGCGCTGTACGCAGATGCCGTCCCTCCAGAGAAGACCCTGCCCATTCAAATCCCAGACGGCGGTGAGGCGGAGAGCCCGGAGAAGACCCCACCAGGGACCCCTCCCACGGCCGCCGGCGCGGGCACTGAGCCCCAGGCCAGCCTCCCCAATGCCTCGGCCTCGGAGTCCGCTCCTCCCGGGGGCGCTGCTGGGCCCGGGGAGGAAGAAGACGGGTCCTTGGAAGAGGGGCGGGCAGAGCTCGGGTCCCGAGAGGAGGCAGCGGCGAGCGGGCCCCCGACGGCGGGCGCGTTCAGCGGGGAGGCGGAAGGTCAGGCCCCTGAGGAGGCTGAGCAGGCCTCTGGGAGCGGACTGGTGGGGGAAGGCCACGCCTCGGGGACGGAAGGCGAGGGCGTCCCAGCGCCTGCGGGGGAGCCGGAAGTGCTCGGCGGAGAGCCGGAAGTGCCGGGCCGAGTCCCGGAGGTCGAGTCGGTGAATGGAGAATCTGAGGCTGATGCGGCCCCGGCGGCCAGGGCGGAGCCTGGGGACCCGGAGGAGCCCAGCCCCAGCCAGGAGGCTGGCGAAACGTCCGCGAAAGCACAGAGCTCTGAGGAGGTGCTTGTGCAGGGCGCTGACGAGGCCTCTTCTGAAGAGGAGGGTCGCGACGGCGATGGAGCCGCGGAGGAAGGAATGGCATCCGAAGAGTCTGAAGAGGACAGTGGCAGTGGGGCTAGTTCAGAAGAAGTGGGGGCTTCAGGCTCCGAAGAAGCCGGGGGATCCCGGGAAGCAGCAGAAAGTGCAATCCACGGGGAGGAGGGGGCCCAGCCGGACACGGAGGAATTGAGTACAGGGCCAGAGGACATGGAGGCAGAAGACCCTGAAGAGGGGGAGCCTGGTAGGGGCGCCCACGTTTGCTCCTCGGGGGTAGGAGTCCCTTAGGAGTAGCCCCAGCATCTTCTAGGAATCCTTGTGGGTGGAGGGATGGTCTGGGACAGAGTGGGAGGTTAGGTGCAGGCCCTGTGCAGGGGACCTGACCCACGGAGCTTTTTCTGGGCCACTTATTAGCCACCACCAGTTTGGAGGGACTTAGTGACAGTCAGTCCTGCAGGGCCCCGAATGCACTCTTAACACACCAGTGTTTTAACCTCAAGGATGGGAATAGTGGTGGGCCCACTGCAGGCAGGGGGACTCGAGGTGCAGGGAATGGTGGGGACAGGGTGAGGATCCTCCAGGTGATCACATTGGTGGGCCAGTACACTGATCACCCTTTAACTGTCCATGTCAGGTGTGGAGGACTGGGAGCTGGGTGGTAAGCATTGTGGTGGCTGGCTGTGACCACGAGTGCCCAAAGATGCCTCTGGGGTACAGGAGCGGCTGCCTCTCAGGGCTGGGGTCAGGATGGGTAGGGAGGTCAGGGCCAGTGCTATTGGGCAGCATTGTAGAGATTGCTCAGGCCTCTGGGATGGTCAGGGCTCCTCATGGCCTCATCTGACAAGTGTGCTGACTTGGACCAAAAGCTGGACTTTGCTACTAGAGGGATTAGGGTGCACCCATCACCTCAGAAGGAAGGTTGGGCAATCCTACTTCCATAGTGATACTGCCTCGGAAACCCAAGGAGGGGTCGCTATGAGTCGGGGGCGGACTCGACGGCAAACAACAACAAAACAACAACAACAACACCTGGAAAGATGCCTCCCCCTTACACTTCCTTGCAGGAATGTAATTTATGTTGCAGTGGTTAAGCACTGGCCTGCTAACTGAAAGGTCAGTGGTTTGAACCCACCAGCCACTCTGTGGGAGAAAGACGTGGCAGTCTTCTGTAAAGATTCAAACCCAAACCAAGCTCACTGCCATTGAGTTGATTCCAACTCATAGTGACCCCCATTGGGTTTCCAAGGCTGTAAATCTTTATGGAAGCAGATGGCCTCCTCATTATTTTGTGGACCAGCTGGTGGGTTTGAACTGCTGACCTTTTGGTTAGCACCCAAGTGCTTTACCCACTATACCACCAGAGCTCCTTCCATGAAGATTACAGCCTAGGAAAACCTAGAGGCAATTCTATACCCTGTCCTGTAGGGTCGTTGTGAGTTGGAATCGACAGCATGTGACACCACCACTGCTTGTTGGGCACTTGCACACTCTATACAGGGAGAGGACCTGTATGTAAATGCCTCTCCTCTGACCTCCCTGTTCTGAGTTTGTTTCAGGTAAAGAATCTAGCTTGAAGATCCTTCCCATCCCTAGTGGAACTGGTCTCCCTTTGCCCCACTGGCCTAAGCCCCTCACCCTCTGACTCAAAACTCAACTGCCATCAAGATTCTGTCTCATCCACAGAGCAGCTAGTGGGTTCAGACAGCTGCCCTTGTGGTTAGCAGCCCGATTACTTCACCAGTAGAGCTCTTCCCTCACCCTCTGGGTCTCCCCAGACCCTTTGTGCAGTCAGCCTGGGTAGCAACAGTTGTGATGGTGGAGGCCTCACAGACATCTCCTGCTGGTCGGATGCAACAGTTGGCTCTGACAAGACCCCTGGCCTCCTGGCCTCGGCCCCTCACCAGTGGGGTCCTGGTAGAGTGCTAGCTTAGTAGTGTCAGTTGTCTCCATAGTGCTTCTCCCTGGCTTTTGTTGCACCAAGATAGCCCCCACTGACCTCTGGGCTCCCCCCACTCACCCCTCACTGGAGCCCAGTGCCTAGGACTCCTACCTGTTTGTTGCTAACTACTGACTAGGGGCTTTCCCAGCTGTCTTTGCTGTCCCTTCACAGCTTGCACATCGCTTCCTCAGGGAATGTCGCTCTGGCTCCCTGTGCTATGGCTCAGTAGGCACCCTTCTCATGTGCCCTAGCTTTTTTTTTTTTTTTTCAAATTTGCTTTTGTTTTTGGGACTATACACAGAACACACAACCAATGCAACAATTTCTAACACACAATTCTGTGATACTGAATCCATTCTTTATGTTGTGTAACCATTTTTGCCTGCCTTCCTGAATTGTTTCTCCCATTAACATAAACTCACTGCCCGCTAATTTTTTTTTTTCCCCCGGTGTTCCTTCCCCTCCCCTCACCACCTTACAACTGTTAGTTTCTTATCTAATCTTTCAAGTTGCTGTTTTCAATCTGATCCCATGTTTAGTTCTTTAAAAGAGCACCATACTTAAGGCAGGCATTCTTTCTTAATTAAACTAGACTACTGTTTAGTTTTAAGAAAACTTCAGGGGATGGTTGATAAAGTTTAAAGATTATCTCTAGGTAATACTTTTGGGGTTTCATCCAGCCTCAGTGGCTGCAGAAATTCTGGATTCTATAAGAGTTTGAGATTCTGTTCTACGTTTCCCCCCTTTTGATTGGGATTTTTCTATAGTCTTTGATCAAAATGTTCAATAACCTCATAGCTTCTTGAGTATTTCTTTCCATAGCCACCATCACAGTTTGTAATTATGAGCTTTTTTTTTTTATTATTATTAGGATTTGGGTGAAGATTTACAGAGTAAATTCACTTTTCATACAGCAGTTCACATATACTTTGTCTCATGTCATTGACCAACATTTACAGTGCAGCAGCTCCCCTCCCACTTCCTCCCCATAGTTACCTCCTCCCAGTGTCCATCCCTTCATACTCTTCGAGAGGCCCATTGTCTGCCAACCCTGTATACGATCTTGGATACACTCTCCATTTAGACATACATAATTGTTTAGCTTGTTCACCCATCTATCCGTCCCTATACCCATGTTTGCTTTCATTAACAACTCAGTATTGTATTTACAAAGGGGTTCATATTTGTTGTTTGTACTGCCCATGTAACTCTCTCTGTCTTTCTCATCCTCAATGCTGCCATATTGGTCACTCACATTTGGCACATTGCCCTTCTCTTCACCCAAATCAATATTTATCTCTATCTATCTAACAGCATTCCCTCCCCTTCCCTCCCAGCCCTGGTAACCAACAAAGAAAATGTCCTCCAATATATAAACCTTTCCTTAACTTTCACAATAACGGACTAATACAATATTTGTCCTTTTGTGACTGACTTATTTCGCTCAGCATAATGCCCTCCAAGTTCATCCACGTTATGCGGTGTTTTGCAGATTCTACATTATTCTTTAGCGTTGCATAGTATTCCATTGTGTGAATGTACCAAAGTTTGGTTATCCATTCCTCAGTTGTTGGACATCTAGGTTGTTTCCAAGTTTTGGCTATTGTAAATAGTGTAATTATGAGCTATTTTTAAAAATTACTTATTACCTCTCTTCCCAATAACCTGTAAAACTCAAGGGCAGGAGCTATTTTGTGCTCTGTTGTATTCCCAGCATTGATGCTTGGAAATTGACATTCAGTAGGTGCTCACTACATATTTGTCGAGTAAGTAAAATGGATCACGGAGCTTAACAAATGTTGAGTATGGATTTTCCAATGCCGTCCTACAGAACTTGGTTCGCTTCCACTTGGCAAAGTTTCAGCGAGCATCTGCTCCAGGCTCTGCACCCGCCCGTCTTCACAGGGTTGTAGAGTCCAGCCAGGCCTGAGCCAGCTCTCACCTGACGCTACGCTGTGCTTCTCTCCCCAGAAGAGGCAGAGGATGTGAGTGAAGAAGCCCCGGTGCGGGACCGCTCCCACATCGAGGAAACTCTGATGCTGAATGAGGACAAGCCGGCTGATGACTTTTCAGGTAAGGAGGGTGATGAAGGGGGCCGGGGGGGGGCGTGCGGTGATGGCTTCTTGGTACCGGAGGGTGATGTGGTGGCAGGAGAGGACTGTTGGCGATAATTCATCATGTTTGTGGGTTTGGCTGTAAAGCCCTTTCATCACATTGGGTTTCTGTAGGTGACAAAGCCCTTTCATGTCCAGTATGTTATTTCCTCCTCGTAGGAGGCCCAAGATGGCAGCAGGGCCTGTTGTCTCCTGTCACTGAGGAGCTGGCTAAAAGCTTGGAGCAGGGCAGCAGTGTGTTCCTGACACATACCTGGAGGTCGCTGAGTGGGTGGAGTTCAGCGAGCCTGACCCTGGGCCACACGCTCCCTCCTCTCTGTCCCGTAGCTTCACCCCTGCAGGTGCCAGCCTTGCCCTGTGCCAGGTTGCAGAGCTGGGCTTCCACGTCTCCCTGGAACTGTGTTCTTTGCAGGAGGACACTTGGGGTGCCTGAGCCCTCCCAGGAGCACCTGGGGTGAGAGGTGCAGTAACGGTGAGGGCACAGGCTGCTGTAGGGAGCCTGCTAGGTGCCATGCCTCTGGGCCTTGTAGGCCTAAGACAAGCACAAGTAAGGTGGGGGTTGAAAGGAAACAGGGACTCTCAGCTGCCACAGAATGGGGCGTCAGTCCCCTGCCCGCTGGGAGCAGCCGGCCGGGAGGGGTAGGACCCGCTGCTGCAGTGGAGAGGGAGAAGAGGGGGCTGAAAACCAGAAGGGTCAGCAGGCTCTGCAGGGCACAGGGGCAGGTTGGAAAATTTCTGAAGTTGGGGATGGGAACCAGTGCCCCTCACAGTCACTGGGCTGCAAAAGGCCCTCCTGCCACCAGGCCGAGGCCACCCATGGCTCTGGCTGCAGGCTGCCCTGCCTTACGCGCTCCCCTCACTCTTCTCTGCCCCCAGCGGTGCTGCAGCGGCTTCGAAAGATCTACCATTCCTCCATCAAGCCCCTGGAGCAGTCTTACAAGTACAATGAGCTCCGGCAGCATGAGATCACAGGTACAGCCCCGTGGGCTTAGGGGATGGGGCCTGCAAATGAATGGGGTTGTTGGGCAGACAAGGCCCTTCCACCCACCACACGGTTCACTCCTCCACACCATGTGCCCTGAGCAGGCAGGGGCAGACACTCGGGAACGGAAGCCTCTTTGGGGGGGGGGGGGCTGTTTGTAGCTGCCGTCAAGTTGGCCCCAGCTCATGGTACCCCATGCACAGTGCAACAGACGCTGCCTGGTGCTGTGCTGTCCCCACGATTGGTTGCGGATGGACCTGTTAGGACCCACAGGGTTTTCACCGGCTGATTTTCATAAGTAGATCACCAGGCCTTTCCTTCTAGGGCTTTCCCATAGGTAGTTTCCTGCCTCAGCAGTTCTGCTCCAGTCCTTCAGACTTGATTTCCACGTGCACTCACGCTCTAGCCCCACAGGGGCTCCCTGTTGACTCACGGCATCAAGTCTTCACTCCTCTGCCTGGCCTAGATTCTTCCCCTCCTCGTCATCCGTCTTCCCATCCTGCATGCCTTCCATCTGGATTCTTTTCAAAGTTGGTTTTCAAAACAAGAACACATTAGATAGAGAAGAAGAACATTCAGTCGTACTGAATGGTACAGGCGGACCTCATATTATTGCAGTCCTCAGGTACTGAGTTTTTTGCAGATGGAAGGTTTGTGGGCGCCCTGCATTGTGTCTTTTGGCACCATTTTCCCAGTAGCATGTGCTCACTTTGTGTCTCTGTGTCCATTTTGGTAATTCTCACAATATTTCAAATTTTTCTGTAATGCTGTTGCACACTTAATAGACTACAGGAGAGTGTTAACATGACTTTTATACGCACTGGGAGACCAGAAAAGTTGTGTGCCTCACTTGGTGGCGATGTTAGCTTTATCACGGTAGTCTGGAACCGAATGCGCGGTACCTCTGAGGGCTGCCTTTACAAAGGAAACGTAAAAATGCCTCTCTTGATTCCATCCCTCAGATGCCCACTGTCGTCATTTCTTGTTTCCCAGACGTTTTCTTGGCATACATAAGCACATTCATCTCTTCATTTTTCAAAAACTGGATCATGTTATTCAAACTGTATGTGTTGGTGTGGTTGGGTGCCATCCAGTTTTTTCTGACTCACAGTGACGCCCTGGGACAGAGTGGAGCTGTCCCAGCAGGTTTCCTAGGCTGTCATCCTTACGGGGGCTGATCATTAGGTCTTCCATGGAATTGCTGGGTGGGTTCAAAACACCAACCTGTTGGTTAGCAAATGAGTGCATCACTGTTGTGCTACCAGGACTCCTGGTAGGTAGGGTTTTAGAAGGTACACGTGATTTCATTTACTAGAGAGGCACATTCACTGGTGCTGGGAGAACTCATGGGTTGCCCAGGGTCACACAGATGGAATTAAGGGCTCTTACCTTTCTACTTTGTCTCCAGTGGAAGACCTTGTTTTCACTTCTCCCTATCCTGTTTCTGGCAAGCCTAAAGGCAGGTTCTCTTTTTCTGTCTCATCAAGGATGTGTATGCATTTGTGTGAGGTTACAGAATCTCTCAGCTGGTTTGCATTGTCATCCACACTGTCCTTTCCTGGCTCTAAGACCAAGTGGTTTTGCCCTCCATCAACACTGTGGTCTTGAGGGCAGCAGAGGTGAGGGGGCTCTGGGCGCCCAGGGCATGGTGCCCGAAGGGGGCTGCTCACACTTTCTGGATCCGGCTCTTCTCAGCCTCTTGGGTCCCGAGTCTCCTGTCAGTGCTTTTGAGCAGCTCCTCCACAAGGCTGCCCCCCAGTGTCTCACCTGTTGCCTGCTGCCTAGGCCAGCAGTGCCCCCTAATGTTGAGCGCTAAAACAGCAGCACCCAGAAAAGTCCTCCTTGAGAGCCTGAAGGCCAGAGTTTACCTCAGCATCTCAGGCCTGTTTCAGAGAGAGACTGTAGAATCTTTGTGGCCACAGTGGGGTTCCTGTCTCTCCCTTCCTGCCCCCGAGACAGAGTTGACACCCAGACAGCCGTGTGCATCTCACTGTATTTACAGATGGAAGGGATGAGGCCAAGCCTGCGATCGTTGTCAGTATGTGCTACTGTTTGTAAGACACCATCTTGGCCTTCTAGGACTTAACTTCACCTTAAACCCAAAACCTATTGCTGTCAAGTAGATTCTGACTCGCAGCATCCCTAGGAGACAGAATGGAAGTGCCCCACAGGGTTTCCAGGGCTGTCATCTTTACAGAGCAGAGTGCCTCATCTTCCTTCCACAGAGCGTCCACTGGGTTCAACTGCTGACCTTTCATTAGCAGCTGAGTGCTTCACTATTGTGCCACCAGGGCTCCTTACACTGAGTACAGCGCCCAGGAATTGCCAATTTAGCATTTGGTCTTGGATACTGGCAGGTCTATCATGGCCTGTGGAGACTAACATTTGAGACTGGCCCTGAGCCCCAGGGTAGGGCTGAGCCTGCAGTGTGGATTTCAGTGGACACAGCTAAGGGGTGCGGAATAGGGAGGAGAGCTGCAGAGGCTGAGGGCAGGCAGGGCCTGACATCCAGACCGCTTCAGGTTCTAGCGCCTTGTTCCACACCCCATCACCTATTTCCAAGAGAACAGGATTTCAGTGGACACAGCTAAGGGGTGGGGGTTGGGGGGTGGGAGGAAAGCCGCAGAGGCTGAGGGCAGGCAGGGCCTGATGTCCAGATTGTGTCAGGTTCTAATGCCTTCTTCCACACCCCGTCACCTCCACACCCCGTCACCTCCACACGCCGTCACCTCCACACGCCGTCACCTCCACACCCGTCACCTCCACACCCCGTCACCTCCACACCCCGTCACCTCCACACCCCGTCACCTCCACACCCTGTCAGCTGTACCTGAGAAAACAGGATCTCCATCTCGCCACATAGCAGTTTGCCCCCCCTCCCCTTTTAACTGGTCTCATTCAGCTCTAAACCTGGACACCTTGCCCGTCGTGAGTTCTGAGTCAGTGTTGGTTGAATTCACTTGGGCCCTCCTTCTGGTGCAGACGTGACAGTGATCCATACAAGGCCAAAATCACATCTTCTGTCTTGTTGTTGTTGACCTGGGTGGTCACACAGCCATGCAGCAATGGCTCCACACTGATCCGGCATAGAATTACCCACTCAGCCTGATGGACCGTGTGGATGGCTGACAAATGAGCCGCTCCTAAAGTAAGAACGTTGTTGGTCCACTTGCATTTCTTTCTTTCTTTTTTTTGAATCTTACACCAAGGAAAAGTTTTTAGTGGAGTATAGATTACCAGTGATTTAAGAATGCATGGGTAAAGGCAGACACAGTGGCAGCACTGTCCAGCTGATGTCCAGACTCATCACTTTTGAAATACAAAACAGTGATCAGTGCTCCCCAACAGTCATTTTATTGAAACAAAAAGATTGTTAACTTGTTCTAGAACTCTTGTCACTCAGTTTTGTTTACAAATATTACTGAGTTTTTCAGTTTTGTCCCATATCAGAACTGTTTTTTTGACAAGCTCACTTCTCAAACTAGTATATAGTCATTTCTTGCAATTAAAGTCAGCATCTGTAGGAAGTTTCCCCAAGTCACAAGAATTTCAATACAGTTGTCGCTTTGAAAGCAGTTACCATTTGGGATTATCTTTGCTAAAATCCACATTATAGAAAGGCAGAAATATTAATGGGCAAAATATGGGGTTGAAGTTAGTGAGACTGAGAAGGAAGTGGTGTTACCTTTCACTGCAGACCAGCTGAAAGGGCTCCACACCTTGCTTTGGTCCTGGTGCTGGGGAGGTGGTTCCACTGGACCACAGTTGGCTGTATTGCTGTCCGTGTTGCATTTTCTGAAGGAGGCAGATTTTAACAATTAAGTTGCTCAACCAAGTAAGCAGAGGACTTTAAATTACTGTATACTTTAACTGCTTGAAATAAATTATTTTCTTAATTGGGTTTCCTGTCTGGAAAGGCAGCAAAATCTAGTTTGTTCCAAAATTAGAAGTCTGACTCAGAAGCTATTTGTAAGATGCCTGGCTATCTTCTGTCACCGGGTCAGTCATGAGGATGGACCTTCCTGAGCTCAGTAACTTAATAAATGTAAAAATGGCTTTGTCCATCAATGCAGAATATCATGAGCCAACACTCTCATAAAACAAGGTAGAAATCGGCTTGAATAAAACAAGAGGGTGGGAATATGTACGGTAATAAAAACGATCCTAATATACTTTGTCAGCAGTGATTATGATTTATATGTAAGTCTGCTAAAAATGAGCATGACTAGATTTGGGAATTTTCTTTTCCTAACATAATGCCCATTCACTATAAACTCAGCTAGTCCTAGTTTCTTACAGATCCCTTGTTACCATGGTGCTTTCTACCGCACCCTGGCCGCACACTGCACATTCGCTGCACAGCCATTTAACTTAACTTAGGAGTTAGGCCTGCCCAGCCTGCCTGTTAAGCCTCTCTTTCAAAATAGACCAGATGCCCTGAAGAGGATCTTGTGGTAAAACTCTGCACTTAAAAACCATGTATGAAGAGCCCTCATTGGCCTCCCATGGTTTCCAGCTCTCATTTCACATGATCACGGAAACAGTGCCATCTACTAATGACTCCTTCCTCATAGGAAGCTGAGTAGCTGTAAACATTCTTGTTCTGTTTTAAAACATTCCAGTACTTACTAATCCCAAAGATCCAAACACCATGTAGTTGTGGCATTTTGGGCATCAGAAGAGAAACTGTGTTTAGGATGAAGTGAGTTGGATTGTATTTTATACAGAAATTTGTCAGAAAGTACAGAATTATTGGAGAAATTGTGAAGAACTTCCATGAAGATAAACTTCTCACTTTGTGAAGTTGTTCCCAATGAGTTAGGAGTCTTGCCTCACCCCAGTCAGGAGTGTCAAAGGATTTTCCTTTCACTGTGGGTAAAAATACATATATCCCCAGGTTACGTATATTTATTAGGGTCTAAGCATCAGGAACACTGAGGAAGGGAATGCTGAGTAAGAAACACAAGGCCAGCCAACTCCAGGGCATATGTCAGCCACATACCATGGGCGTTTGGATTCACCTCACTGTGGGCAACGCCAACATTCAAGTGTGCTCCACCGCCCCACACCCCATGGCCAGCCCAGAGCAGATCCGGCCCAGTGTCTTCTCACAGGCTGAGTGCCTGGTTCACTTACATTCTAATTCCGTTGCCCTCAGACGGGGAGATCACATCCAAGCCCATGGTGCTGTTCCTGGGACCGTGGAGTGTCGGCAAATCAACCATGATAAACTACCTCCTCGGGCTGGAAAACACTCGCTACCAGCTCTATACAGGTAATGTTCAGGGGTTCTTTCTTGTTTCTTCTTCTGTTCTATGGTTTTATTATTATTATCATATATAAAGGAGCTCTGGTGACACAGTGCCTAAGGCATTTGACTGCTAACCAGAAGGTTGGTGATTGAAGCCCAGTGGCCACTCCATGGAAGGAAGACTGGGCAGTCTACTTCTGTACAGATTTACCACCTCGGAAACCCATATATTTTTCATCATAATTTGAGTGAAAGTTAACAGAGCAAGAGTGGGAGGAAAATGCGGACTAAAACCAGAATCACAAAAAAGAGCAGGCTTATTAAGACTGATAGAGACTGGAGAAACCCCCAAGACTATGGCCCTTAGACACCCCTCAGACCTGGAACTAGAGAGGTTTCTTGTGTGATTGTTGGTATTCACATGTCCTATGTGAAAGCACTATGAAAAATTAAAATATTTACGTGAGTCTTCAATAGAATAATGAAAAATATGTGTAAGGAACCAGTCCCTTAGCAAACACAAGATCCTAGTTCTGTGACGAAGCATGCCCGGCAGTAGCTCACACCCACATGCTCTGAGCTCCTTGGATCTCTTTCCTGGAGAGCCTTGTATTCCCCACTGATGCTATTCTTCGTGTGCAGGTGCTGAGCCCACCACCTCCGAGTTCACAGTCCTCCTGCACGGGCCCAAACTCAAAACCATTGAGGGCATTGTCATGGCTGCCGACAGTGCCCGGTCCTTCTCACCCCTTGAGAAGTTTGGTCAGAATTTTTTGGAGAAGCTGATTGGCATCGAGGTTCCCCACAAACTTCTGGAGCGGGTCACATTTGTGGACACACCAGGCATCATTGAGAACCGCAAGCAGCAAGAAAGAGGTAATTTTGCACTCACTCCCCAATAGCATGAGCTTTGCCTTAAAAGACTATTTTTGAAGCAGGTGATGGTAAGGAGGGGAGAATGTGGCCAGTGGTCTCTAAGACCAAGAGATACATCCTTCCTCCCACCCCCTTCTTGTCACTGTGTTGCCACTTAGGTTTTAGATGACCTTGTCCTACTTCCTCAAGGACTGGTTTGGTTTGGAGACAGTAATTATTTTCCTAAGGGGAGCACTGGTATTCCCAGGAAATAGCTCCAAAGGGTCCAAGCTGGGGCCAAATTGTCTTTGGGAGGCTTATTCGGTCCTGAGTGATTGATCAAGGGCCTGGACTTATCCCCATATAGGTGTACTTGACCTCTCGCTAATTTGAGTCGGGACTCTTCCTATGCCCAGTTCCTGCTTTATCAGGCCTGCTTCAGCATAAACCTTTATCAAGTTCTCCAAAGCTCTGCTTGCCTTCAGCTGGCAGGGTTCTGGGCTGTGACGTGGTGTGTAGGCAACTAGGTATTTCCATAACACAGGGCTGTATACAGAGATAAATCCTTGGAGGAATACATGACCAGGTGGTAGAACTCACTTTATGGTTATAACCAGAGTCTGTTTCGTTATTTATTAGTAACGATATTACCGCTAATAATTATAATAGTCAATTAACATTTGTTGCACTCCTGTTATGCATAGATAATTTTATGTATTATTGATTGATTAATCTGGGGCCAAGCTTCTGGAGCTTGGCTTTGTAAAAAAAAAACTTTTCAAGAGACCAGTCTGAGTCTTGTTTTGAAAATACAAAAAACTAGTAAGAAATTAAGGGAATTAAATTATATGGAGCACCTACTAGGTGAAAGGCACTGTGTGTGTTGGTGATTTTCCATATTTATAGCAACGTAGTTGTCTTTATATCAACTTGGGTATAATTGTCATTTTGTAGCTAAAAACTGTAGCTTGGAAAGCTTTAATTTGGAGTTAGCCACTGGCAAAGCCCCACATCCAATCCAGGTCTTGAAGTCGGGTCACCGTGTCTTTACCTTATATAATACATCCTCTCTTTCTACTTTTTCTAGTTTCCTTCAACATCTTTCCCATTGCTCCAGATCTTTCTAGACAGTAGGAAAAAATCTCCATTTAGAAAATAACATTTCACTTCCCTGGAGACTTGGATCCCACTGTAGCTTAAAACAAGGATCAGGCTATTCTTGGTGGAAGGTTGAGGAGGGGCAGGAGGTAGGCAAGTCATTCTTTAAAAGTCTCTAGAAACCCAGCAGATTCCCAGGGCCTTTACCTGTTTCAGCCCATAGAAGGGCTTGGTCCTGACAGGTGTGAGGGGTTTTAAGGAACTCCTACTCAGCTTGCCCTCTTGTTCCTGTTCCCCAAAGGTTACCCCTTCAATGACGTGTGCCAGTGGTTCATCGACAGAGCCGACCTCATCTTTGTCGTCTTTGACCCAACCAAGCTGGACGTGGGTCTGGAGCTCGAGATGCTCTTCCGCCAGCTGAAGGGCCGGGAATCCCAGATCAGGATCATCCTCAACAAGGCTGACAACCTGGCCACCCAGATGCTGATGCGCGTTTATGGTGCTCTCTTCTGGAGCTTGGCCCCTCTCATCAATGTCACAGAGCCCCCAAGGGTTTACGTCAGCTCCTTCTGGCCACAGGAGTACAAGCCTGACACCCACCGGGAGCTGTTTCTCCAGGAAGAGATCTCCCTCCTGGAGGACCTGAATCAGGTGATTGAGAACAGGTTGGAGAACAAGATCGCCTTCATTCGCCAGCACGCTATCCGGGTCCGTATCCATGCCCTCTTGGTTGACCGCTATCTGCAGACTTACAAGGATAAAATGACCTTTTTCAGTGATGGAGAACTGGTTTTTAAGGACATTGTGGAAGATCCCGATAAATTCTACATCTTTAAGACCATCCTGGCAAAGACCAATGTCAGCAAATTTGACCTTCCCAACCGTGACGCCTACAAGGACTTCTTTGGCATCAACCCCATTTCCAGTTTTAAGCTGCTCTCCCAACAGTGTTCCTACATGGGAGGCTGCTTCCTGGAGAAGATCGAGCGGGCCATCACCCACGAGCTTCCCAGCCTCCTGGGTAGCCTTGGGCTAGGGAAGAATCCAGGTGCTCTCAACTGTGACAAAACAGGGTGTGGAGAAACCCCAAAGAATCGCTATAAGAAACACTAGCTTGTGTGCAGCCATTCTCGAGTTCCTATTGGTGAATGAGCTTGTGTCCTAACTGTCTGAGAAGTCCTGGTTTAGTAACCCTTTGAGCCACACTGGCAAGGATTCGGCATTGGAGATTTGGGAGTTAATTGAGGCCGGGATAGAGGAAGGAACGCGGGTCAGAGGAGGAGAGTGGAAACTGTGAATTATAGTGTGCTTGTCTTGTCGCTTCAATCAGGTTCAATCAGGAGGCGAGTCGGGCAACAGCTGCTTTTCTGGGGCCAGCTCTTAGAGGGACAGAGAGCAGCTGTGTTTTAAAATGTATGGAATTCGTGAGCTCACAGTAGCTGAAATGCTTTCCTCCTTTGTGAGCTACAAAACAGTGACATCGGAGTCACAGAGTGCCCTTCACCCCATTTTGGTTTCCTTCACACACACAATCTGGTTTGTCCCCGGCCCGAAGTTTGCGTTGACTTTCAGCAGTGGGCAGTCTCTTGGATCTGACTCTACCTGGGTTTTGAGCCTTTCTATCCCCAGGACCTCTTCCCTGTTTGGCTACCTGAACCCAGGGGGAGAGAGCATGGGTTCCCAGGTGAGGTTCGGACCGCCTCCCCAGGCCAGTTCTCTGGTGCAGACTTCTCAGCCAGCTGGGATTTGGTCCCATCATCAGCCCCAAGTGGAATGTTGAGTGTTCAGTGTCTTCAGGTGACTTCTGTCCTGGAAGTGACTAAAGTGACAGTAGTGGGTGGGCTCAAAGAGTTAATTGGTTTGCAGTGTCTTTGTCTGTTGCATGTCTTGGAAAACTCAGATCCCAGAGGCATTGGGTTTCAGAGAAGAAACTGAAGCTCTTGCTTCCTTCCCCTGGGGACTCCTCAGGGCAGCCAGCCTCTCCTACATTTAAGGAGATCGTTTCCATCGTTTCTCTGTGGGAGTGCTTGGCAGAAGACTCACCCCTTCCCAGTTTTCATCACCATGGCTTTGCCTTGCCTTTTCTTTTTTCCATTCCCTGATGCACCAGTCCCACGGCCTTTGGAGTAGTTTCTTAGGAGTCAGACCAGCTGCAGCCACTCTGTGCCATTGTTAACAATACTCACATTCATTTTCCCACCTGCTGTGTCCACATCCCAGCCCTGGAAAGCCAGACCTTCCACATCCAGTGAGTGTGAAGATGTGTGGATGTCCCTGAGAGATGTTGAAAGGCCACCATCAGAGAGTGGGTACAGACAAGGGACTTCTCGTGGGGAACACCGGCCTGGTGTAGGCACTGTCACCGAGGGTGGTAAAGTAGCAGCATTTTGAGAATATGTGGATGGGTGAGTGGTCTGTGCAAACCAGGACGCCTGGCTAGGACTTCCTGGAGGAGCCAGCTCCTCTGCGGAGCAAGCTGTGCTGGGGACTCAACCACGGGGCCTGGATCAGGATCCCCCAGCTCTCGGAAGTCACCTGGGGCAGAGGGAGGGTGAAGGGAAGGCCAAGGGAGGGGCAGTCTGAAAGCAGGCCTTGTAAGTCGACTGGCCATCAGATGAGGGCCACACGGAAAGGTGCAGTTTAGGAAGTCCTTTTTCTCAGCATTGTTAGCTCTGGTGCACGCTCCACAGCGCCTGCTGCTCTGGGCTCTGCAGAGGGCCAGAACCTCCAAGGAGAAAGCCAGAGGCTCCAAAGCTTCCGACATTGTCTCTAAGGGGAGAGCCAGCCAGAAAAGCAAAGCCAGTGCTGTAAGGGGCCTGGTGGCCGGGCCTGATGAGCCAGAGTCTGTCCTGGACCTTTTCTTCTTACTGTTGTTGTTGTTACTGTTATTTGCCATCAAGTCGGTCCCGACTCACCCCTGCCCTTCTATTGCCTGCCTTCTATCCTGTGGGGTCTACCCTCCCACCTTCCTCCTTGATGCCCCCGATGTGCACCACCCACCTTTAGCTTCTCTGTGCTCCCAGCGCAGTTAGGGACTCGTCAGCGGCGGAACTAGATGGGCATTGTCACAGCTGCTGATGTCACCCTTGCTTTGGAAAAGTGGGTGCAATGAGGCGAATGAGCTCATACCATCTCTCTACTTTAGGGGAGTACAGGACCAATGTGCTCTTTGGGGTCTGGTCTTCCCTCTTAGGCTTTTCGTTCCTCCCTCTTTCTCTCTTTTCTGACTCCTTTGCTCTTTGGATTCTGTTCTCTTTTCCTCACTCCTGGTCTTCCTCTTCCCTAACTGGCCGTAGGCCTGTCGCTCAGTCAGCATGTGTATTAAGGGCTTGTTTGTGGTCCAGCTCTGCGGAGGTGGATTTCCAGCAGAATTCTGACTCTTTGAGGGTACAAGGCCTGGAGGGAATCTCGGATCCAGAGATGCCCCCAAGAATAGTATCCATAACTCTTTGTGCCTGAGCAGTTCCTGTTTCTCTCCACAACTGAACCTTCTAGTGTTCTTTGTGTTCTGAGTCCATCAGGGAGGAAGTCTCAATAAAGTGCCAATCTCTCTTGAGCACCTTGTACTTTCTCATTGCCTCCAATGATGTAACCTCTGTCTGTCTTTGATCTAGGAGAGTCCTGGTTTCTTGAGTTCTAGGGGACGGACACAACACTTATAAACTCCCCCTGTTGTTCTGGGGGCTCTGGGCACCTTCTTTCCTTCTGGCTTTCCAGGTGCCCACAGATAACTCATTTCCTCAGCTGGCTATGACACAGACCGTACTCTTGCATGGTCTGAAACTTTAAGAAACACTTGTTCCTCCCCACCTGAATGGGTCCCTGTCCATGGCTCTTTTCATAGAGGTTACTTGAAAAGTGTACTCCCGGTTCAGGCATAGTTAGACCACGTGGCTAATGCTGTGAACTGCACAGCTGCTGCCTTGATACCCAGAAGCTCAGGAGGAGGAAGCCAGGAAGTATGCCCTGGATTGTGAGGTTGCCGCTCCCTTAGCTTTTCTGGAAGGTGATCACCCCATCCACACGGTATGGATTTGGGCCTCCTGACTGTACTTGTCTTTGAAGAAACCAGAGCATGGCCTTGATTGTCTGAGTTTGTGCTGCTCCCTACACTGTGCTGTCCCCATGTCCACTGCAGAGCAGAGCAACTGTAGTTCTGAAGATCTTCCTCTGGGATCCTCCTGAGGAGTCACACCCCTTCTTGAGAACATGTCTTGAGAGGGAAAGACATGGGTCCTGGGGAGGAGGGGGTAGGTTAGTAACCAAACAGAGGAGGCTGAGCCCTGAGAACATACTCATACCACTGATAGAACGATGGCTGAGAAGAGGCCAAACCCTCTAGGTTCCTACCTCAGGAGAGGCTGATCTGAGGGGCCGGGTGTGTAGGGCAACCCAGTCAGCTTCCTCCCCTGCTCTCTGCCTGATAGGGGGCCTACAGTCCACAGTCTCGGAGCAACCTAAGGCCCCTCCCTTTCCCCCCCATCCCCACACCAGGTCACCTCTCCCGTCCACATCTGCAAACAGTGTCTCTCCAGGATTGGGGGAGATGGGGCGCCTTTCCCTGGGTGAGGTGTCAGGATGAGGCCTGTTTTGAAGATAAATATAAATATTTATTTAATATGCCAGAACCTGCCTCAAAATTGTGCTGTTTCGTAGCTCCACACCCTACCACCTTTGCATGAAGTCTGCCACTATTAAGATAATGGGACAGAAACACAAAATGTAGAAAGCAAACTCAGAAGACTCAATATGGCCAGATCACGTGATAATGAGTGGAGAGGGTCTTTAAGGGTCTGTATCTTTCCTGTCAGAATATATGGAGTCTACATGTCATTACATGTATAAGGGGCATGCAGAAATGTACATGTAAAGTCTGTGTGTATGGAAACAGATGTGTATGTGAGTTTTTGGCCAGCTGATGCCCTGGTATCTAGCACAGTGCCTAGCACCTACTTGATATCGAATGAATGAATGAATAAGTTCAAGGGGGAGTAGAATGTGTATGTACATTGTATGTTGTGTGTAGGGATATAAGGGTGGGTGTGGCTGTAAGGATGCAATCGTAGGAATATGTGAGTGTGGATTACAGATTCTGGGAGTATGTGTAGGCATTTGTGTGTGTGTGTGGGGTGAAGCTGGTTGTCCAACTCAGGTTGTAGACCAGGAAGATCCAGCCACAGGAGGACATGGTACCAGTTTGTGGGAGTCATATCCTTCCCCAGTGAACTGAGGAGAAAGTCCAAGCCTTAGCGAATACACAGTTATATCGTCAAATTATTAACTAGTCCTCAGTAGATGAACATTTAAACTTTCCAGTCTTTTGTGAGTAAAAATAACACTCTATTATAAAGTAATGGGAGCTCTGGTAGCGTAGTGCCTAAGGCACTTGACTGCTAACCAGAAGGCTGGAGGTTCAAACCCACCAGCCATTCCTTGGAAGGAAGGTTGAGGAATCTACTTAAGTAGTGATACTGCCTTGGAAACCCAAGGAGGGGTCGCTATGAGTTGGGTCCGACTCAATAGCACATAACAACATTATAAAGTAATAAGAGAGTTACTTATTATATGCTTCCCTTCCTGCAAATAAGAAGGAGATAAAAGAAAATACAAATTTCTGCCCATTTGTTCTAAGTACAGGGAGAGACTGGCTACCATTTCAGGAGGTATCATATGATCAAAAACCAATGGTATTGAAAGCAGAAGTCTAAGCTGCACTGAAGGAATTGCCGAAAAACAAGGCTCCAGGAATTGATGGAATATTCATTGAAATGTATCAACAAACGGATGCAGTACTGCAGGCACTCCTTTATCCAAAGAAATGTGGAAGACAGCTATTTGGCCAACTGACTGAAAGAGATCCATATTTGTGCCCATTCCAAAGAAAGGATCCAAAAGAATGCAGAGATTATCAAACAGTATCATTAATATCCCGCACAGGTAGAATTGTGATATCAGATGGATCTTAGCTGAAAGAAGGGAACCAGAAAGATTATGCAAAAGTATTTGATTGGATCATAACAAATTATGGATAACATTGCATGAGCACTTAATTTTGCTCATGGGGAACCTGTGCATAGACCAAGAGGCAGTCCTTGGAACAGAACAAGACAATACTGTGTGGTTTAAAATCAGGAAAAGTGTATGTCGGCACTGTATTTTCTCACCATACTTATTAAATCGTATATTGAACAAATAATCCAAGAAGCTGGACTATATGAAGGAGTGCAGCATCAGGATTGGGGGAGGACTCATCGGCAACCTGCAATATGCAGACACACAACCCTGCTTGCAGAAAGTGAAGAGGACTTGTGCTTACTGATGAAGATCAAAGACTACAGTCTTCAGTATGGATTATATCTCAACATAAAACAAAAATCCTTGCATCCAGACCAATAAGCAGCATCATGAGAAAAGACTGAAGTTGTGAAGGATTTCATTTTACTTGGCTCTGCAGTCAATGCCCATGCAAGCAGCAGTCAAGAAATTAGGTAACATACTGCAGTGGGCAAATCTGCTGCAAAAGATCTCTTTAAAGTGTTAAAAACCAAAGATGTCACTTTGAGTACTAAGGTGTGTCTGACCCAAGCCGTGGTATATTCAGTCACCTCGT